AAAAGCTGCTATTCAATCGCTTGTTTTGTATGGAAAAAGGTTTCACAAGCAAATGGATTTTAACAACTTATAATTTTCGTGAGAAAAAATTAAAAATATTTGACATTTTCGAGACCAAATAATTTGAAAATAAATCAAATCAGCTGCTCTACTGATACTACCTGTTCAATGTACCTTGAAGTGCAGTCAGCAAACATTACAGTACAGATATATATAAAAAAAGAAAACGAAAACCTTGTAACTTGACACTTGAAATTAAAACAAATCGCAGTACCTTAAAAGAAAATAACAGAGAATTTTGAGCTGTAACCGCCTAAGCGACTTTGGCCGATTTCAGCAAAGCACGCCAGTCGTTTCTCCACTGTGCCAACTGACGCCAAGTGAAGCCAAGTCCTTCTCCACCTGATCTTTCCATCGCAGTGGGGGCCTCCCTCTTCCTCTGCTACCACCAGCGGCTTCCGAGTTGAATACTTTCAGAGCTGGAGCGTCGGTGTCCATTCGAACGACATGACCAAGCCAGCGGAGCCGCTGTATTTTAATTCGCTGCACTATGTCCATATCGTTGTAAAGCTCATACAGCTCATCGTTCCATCGTCTGCGGTACTCGCCGCCGCCAACGCGTAAAGGCCCGTAAATCTTCCGCAAAATCTTTCTCTCAAACACTCCAAGAGACGCCTCATCAGATGTTGTCATTGTCCATGCTTCTGCGCCATATACCAGCACGGGCATGATGAGTGACTTATAGAGCGTGGTTTTCGTACGTCGAGAGAGGACTTTACTCCTGAATTGCCTACTCAGTCCAAAGTAGCACTTGTTGGCAAGAGTGATTCTGCGTTGGATTACGAATAATCACCAAGTTAGAAAAGGTACCGTAAATGTCAGATTAAATCGAACTGTTGCACCATTGAGTATATCGAATTCTTATGTGTTACGATTGGCCCAATGTATATGATTTTTGCCGGTATTGTTATGCCTTAACTCGGAGGCACCAGGGTTGAGTTGTGCAGGAGTAAATCTCAAATCACTACCGATAAATCAAACGCCAAAACCATCACGGGCCTTTTACTGTAAAAAATTTAATTAAAACAAAATTATTTTCACTTAAATTGCTTTCGTGAAACTTACTTTTAAGATATTTGGATTTCTGTAGAACAATTATACGCATCCATTTTGAAATTGCCACCAACTATACTATAAAGTTTCTGGGAGAGATTCACTATAGAACCGGATATTGTTGCCGCCAGGGAGTTAAGAGAAAATGTTATTCAAATTTATTTCGTTATGAGATTAACCGTTCTATGAAATGTTACACAATTAGAGAATTTCAAGAACTTCTTCACGGACATCACGCTTTCGTTACGTTATTTAAGGCGGAAAACGACCACCAAACCATAATCTTAGCCGATGAGCGTGCCAATGGAAATCGTAAACCTGAATGGACCAGTCTCACTTCCCTGACTGTTGTAACGCTCCTTAGCAGTGAATCCACCGCCTTCTTGATAGCAGCTACTTTCGCCTGGAATACACTGCAGGAGTCTGGGAGCCTAAACTTAGTGCTGATGGTAAGCTCTCAGCAAAAGACCCCACCACCAACCCTGCCGTCCAGTTTCGATCCATCCGTAAAGAAGTTCACCGCACCCCTGCTCCAGAAGTACGGCCCGGTCCACTCCTCCCTTGAGGGAAAGTGGACAGAGAAGAAGCTCCTAGGAGCCATATCGGTGGCGCAGAAATACGTACGATCAGGGATGAAATCGAAGCGCCCTAAAACTCCAGAGTATCCAGTCCCTAAGTTGGTCAACCAATCGGTTTCCCTGAGTCTAATAGCCGTTCCCGCCGCGTCAATTTTGCCTGCAACGTCAGCATAACGTTCAGTGCTAACGTGGGGGCGGTCAGCAGTGCCCCACTAATACCAATAAATGCAGCTCGTTGTACACGCTCCAGCTGCCTAGATAGTGTAGCCTTTTCCAGTGAGTTCCACCAGACTAGGGCGCCATAAAACATAATTGGCTTAACTACGGTCTCGTAGAGCCAATAGACAACTTTAGGCGAGATACCCCATCTCTTACCCATAGCTCCCCTACAGAAATATAAGGCCACTGATGCCTTCCTTGCCCTTTCCTCCAGGTTTGGCCTCCAAGACAACTTCCTGCCTGGGATCAAGATCAATTACTTCACCTTGTCAGACAGCTGTAAGCGCAGACCTCCAACTGAGGGAAAACCAACGGCGGGGATTTTGTATTTTTTTGTGAATAAGACCAGTTCTGTCTTACTAGGGTTGACGGCGAGGCCACTTTTGGCAGCCCAGTTAGTAACTATGTTAAGATACCGTCAGTTCATTTAGCTAAAGATTTTGCAGTGCTAATGAAACTTTGTTGATTTTTTTTTTTTAATTTTTGCATAGAGTTTATAATTTTAATTAATATTCGTGCGACTAAAACCAAAAATTTTTAAAACACTCGAAAAAATCAATATATTCACAAAAATAGGAGCCAAATAAAGTATAACTGCGTTTTTACTTTTTCTCTCTGACGTCAGGATCTTTTTAAAGGACTTTGAAATTTCCAGGATATGATTGAAAAAAAAAAATAATTATTTAAAAAATTGGTGCATTGTAGAGTCACAATATGGATATCAGTTCAAGGGAAAAACTCTGTAGAATTAAAAAAAATTTAATTTAACTTTAAGGTTACCCTTGAATATCCTTGGAAATTTCCAAAATTTAAAAAAGAAAATATATGTCAATGACTAATATGTAAACTACCACATCCTTGAATTTCGTCCTTCTAACTTTATTAGTTTTAGTTAAAAAAAAATGTACACTTCTCTTTATAAGATATTGATAGTTACAATATACATAAATAAAGATACTTGAATCATTGCACTGTACAGCACTCCGCTGGGTATTGGTCCAAACCAATTTTTTTGAAGAGATTGGGTCATAGGTAAAAAAGTTATTTCTCCGTTTTTCGAAGTTAGCCTCCCAAATCGAGATATGGGCCTTCGAAGTTCGAAATAGGATATTTAGTAAACAATTATTTTTTATTATTATATGTAAATAACTAAAAAACTAAAAATACAGTCGTAGACCGTCTTTAGCTCTTATTTAAATGATTTACAATTTTTCTTTTTGCAAACTTATATTACAGGTGCTATAAGGGGTCAGAAGTCGGGTCTTCGAAAAACTAAAAACCTTATATTTCAAACAATTTTGAACTGATTTTTAAAAAGTTGGTATCGTTGTAAACGTGATTAGACCCCCTTCTTCCCTTCTGATATGCACACAGCACTTCATTTTATATCATAAATATGTAATAAATCTAAATTTATAATCAAAATCGCTGCAGAAAACACATTCAATCGCTAAAAAATCACTACGAAGAGGTAGAAGACGGTGAAAACAAAACCGAAAAACGTCAAAAACGCTACGAAAACTTTTTTCTGAAAATCGATTACAAATACAACGATGGCTGATTAGGTGATCTGTAGTAGTTGGATTCATACTAATTATGATAAGAGCGCGGTTACCCACGAACGTCTACGTAGCGTAGCGTAGAAGTACGTAGAAAGATATCAAGTATGCTGTTGATAGAAAGAGAGAGAAGCAACGTCTACGTCAGAGTCATGCGGTGGTGAGTTTTTGTTAACACGCAGATCCCATAAGATAGATCGTGCCAGCTGTCACGTTCTCCGTTTTTACGTCCGTAGGTAACTGCGCTTTAAGTATGACTCCATATACCTGCAAAACAAGTCGAGTGCTCAATAGTCAGTCAGCCAGTCATTGCTTGCTTTTCAAGAGAAGATGAACGATAAGGCACATATGTAGCTAGTGTTTGTTGCGTAAAAAGCGAAACTACATACATACATTGGTACATGCATACATAGAAGCTATCCGAAAGATTGGTAAAAGAGGGAATTTTGTGATATTGTGAAATCGAATTGAAATGAATTCATTGGCACCGAAAATTAAACTCAGCAATGGCCAAGCGATACCATCTATTGGACTGGGTACATGGCGGTCGCGGGAATCCGATGCAGAACGCGCTGTGAAAGATGCCATTGACGTGGGTTACAGACACATTGACACCGCCTTTGTGTATGAAAACGAAGACGAAGTGGGACGAGCCATCAATGCCAAAATCGCTGAAGGCATCATTAAGCGTGAAGACATATTTGTTGTGACAAAGTTGGGCGGCATCCATCACGATCCGCAATTGGTGGAGCACGCGTGTCGTAAGAGTCTGTCCAACTTAGGCCTCGTTTACATCGATTTATATCTGATGCACTTCCCTGTTGGCCAAGTATACAAAGGCGATGAAAATGTGCACGGAACTGCGGAACTTTCCGACGTTGACTATCTAGACACCTGGCATGCTATGGAAAAACTCGTCGATGTGGGTTTGGTGCGTGGTATTGGCCTGTCCAATTTCAATGCGGAGCAAACGGAACGAGTGATACAGAATTGTCGCATACGCCCATTGGTCAACCAAGTGGAATGTCATCCCGGACTCAATCAAAAAAAGTTGATCGCATTTTCTCGGCACCACAACATTGTTATTACGGCGTATTGTCCGTTGGCGCGTCCCAAACCGGATCAACAATGGCCTCCGTTTCTGTACGATGAAACTGCAAAGAAGTTAGCGCAAAAATATCAAAAGACAACTACGCAGATCTGTTTACGATATTTACTCCAGCTGGGTACTATACCGATTCCGAAGTCTGTAACGAAAAACCGCATCGAGGAGAATTTCGCTATTTTCGATTTCGAATTAAGCGACGAAGATATGAATATAATGGACGGCTATCACACAGGGCGGCGTTTAGTACCATTTTTGGCGATGAGCCGCCATAAATACTTTCCATTCAACTCAGAGTTCTAACTAGATACATATGTATATGCTACGTTGTGATTATTTGTACATAAAACTTTACACAAATAAAATATGTTAAATACTAAATTTGTTTAAGTTTAAATTCGTTTCTTAATACCTAAGTATCTATACTTACATAGAAAGGCGACGTCTAATATTTTTGTTTCATTGCATAGTACCTAATTACAAGTTACTTAGTAAACTTTCCATGCATTTATGTACCAGTGTTGGGTAAATTTTAATTATACGGATAATTAACAATTAATTAATTGTTAATTGTTATTTTCTACAATTAACAATTAATTGGTTTGTGAATTTTATTAAAAATTAACGATTACAAATGCCTACTATATAGACCGGGGACCTGGATATGACAGTCATCCACATCCCAGGCCTGTGCCGTATTTTTTATTTTATTTATAAGTGGGTTAATTGTTATCAAAAAAGTGATTGCAATTAAATTAACTGCCGTGTGAAATTAAAAGTTTAGTTGCAATTAATTTAATTGTAATGTACATAGGTATGTGTATAAAAAAAAAAA